ATACAAGAGAAACGGGGTACCGACAGTTTGAGTGCCCCTGTGCTTGATATCGAAACAGAGAAGCATAAATAATTTTCCTCGGGTGGGCGTTCGCAAAGGAACGTTTGTCGGCACTCTTTAACTCTTTTCATATGGCGAGATCTGAGGTACTCACGGAGGTGACTATGAAGAGTGAAGTGACGCCGTGTTGTCTTGTATTCTTAAGTGAAGGTAGTATTTTCCTTCAAATTTCGATAACGAGCTACCAGGCTACACGGCGTCACACCTCAGCAGTCCATCGTTTAGAATACCAACCACCGTGAGTACATCATATTTCCAGACATTCTCTCGTTCTACTGAACCTAGAAGTTCGTTACCGCTTTCACAAAAGTCCGATAACCCTAAATTGACAAGAAAAAGTTATCCGGAAGTGGGGTTGCTGTATCTGCGTTTTTTTTTGGCGGGGGTTTGCGTTATGACGATATCAAAATCACAGATTATATGTAGCGTCGAATGGTAGGATAACAAATGAGTTGCAAAAGATTTGGAAGGAGACGGTCATGGAGCAATTGAGCTACTATGCTGGTATTTGTCTGGAGAGACTGAAGAAGACCATGAAAGACCTCAGTCAGGATAGCCTGTGTCCCAGAACTTCCTGAAAAGAAGTCTAGAGCGTTCAGTTGTCTCTACCTTGTTAATTAGTGGCGCCGTCTGTTGCAATATGCAAAACAACAGGACGACAACGCCTACCGCTACCTGCGAAGTCTTTCCATTTCTTAATTACATCGCGTCAGTGCCCGTTCGCAGAAACTGGCCACAGTGGGCGTGACGGGTGCAAGTGTGTCCGTGATTTCTCACACAGAATGCAGGAAGTTTCGTGTCCCCCGGGCAAAAGGTCAAGTCTCATTCCCAGGCCACAGCCTGCAGCTTCTAATTGGCCCGTGCAACCTGTTCTTATCCAGCCTACACGTTCCACTAACTCTCTATGGCTTATGGACGTACCAGGGTTTGACTCCCAACACTGGCGGTGATTTTCCTATTTGCCACTCATGTGAGCCAAAATAGCCATTTTTTTTTCTTTTTTTTCTTGGCACTACAGCCCCGGTGGGCCTAGGCCTACCTCCATGAACTTCTCCGTCCACTTCGGTTTTTCTAGATCTTACACATTCGGTAGGACTCCTTGGGCGAGTGATCAGCTCGTCTCAAGGCCTCTATCTGTACACAAACACAGAAAAACGCACACAAACATTCATGCCCTGAGTGGGATTCGAACCCACGATCCCGGCTTCCGAGCGAGCGAAGACAGTGCATGCCAAAATAGCCAAATACCGAACAAAAATGAAATCCGCAGGACTGGTTAAACCGTCAGGTGAATGTAATGTTGTCCCTGTGCTACGCCATGAAGGCGTATGGGGAAATGGATGTATAGATCCACATTCTCTTGAACTCGACACTAGCTTGAGGTGAGTGGTCAGCTTCACGCCCTGGCCTCTTTACTCCGGGGAAAGAACCCCCGTTACCCATTGGATAGGAGGCTGGGTGGGCCCAAGAGCCGGTCTGGACAACGCGGAGAAGAGAAAATTCTTGATTCTACCTGGACTCGAACTCCGACTCGTCAGTTGTTCAACCCGTAGCCAGTCTCTATACTGACTCGGCTCTCGCTAAACCGTTAATGCTACTTTTATTGTTTTCCGGGTTATGACGCCGTGTAGTTTGGTAGGTGGTTGTGGGTTACCTACTGCCGCAGCCTTCAAGATGGAGCATGTAGTATTAATTGTAAAACTGCAGAATCTGCTATATATCAATGTATATTGTGACTAACTTGTTGGATTCGTTGAGCGGAGTCCGTCAGACACTGAAACTGTTCCTCTTTTATGCAACCCCTCTCCCTAGTAAAGTTCGTTGGCTACTAGAAGCTAGGACAGCTCAGTCGGCCGTCGGTACCTGATGTTTCCCCCATCTACCAGAGGCATTGGAAACTACTTGGGCGGGAAATTGTTGCCTAATTTTGCTCAGAGGTCTCCTAGAGACATGAGGTTCTTTTACGTGCCGTAAAGCTATGACACGGGACCCACGGCTTAAAGTCCCTCCCGGAAGACTTGTTCTCTGAATTTTTCGGCCCTTAAAAATTTCACGACCTCCGCCGGGTTTGAACCCGCGTACCTTGAGTCATGAGGTGGGAACGTTACCCCTTGACTACGGAGGCCGCTTCAACGGGTACCTATGGCCCGTTCCTCGGGATTAAAGCGGCCGGGGCGTGATGCTGACCACTCACCACCATCTGATGCCGAGTTCAAGAATCGCAGATCTATTCCTCCACTCTCTCATATACCTTCATGGCTTGGTCCTTAAATAAGTAAAGCACAGGGACAATTTTACCGTGAATTTACTGTGGTAAAGCCGATTTAGAGGAAAGGGACATCGAGTACAGGCCAACAGCTAGTGTACCCTTAGTTTCCTCACAGAGGCGACCTCCATACATCAGTAAAACCTAATAAAAATCGTTACAGCCGTTTTCGAGAAAATGGCCGTTTCTTATTTTGCGAACAATGTGAAAAACTCATGCTTTTCGGAGCTGAGATGTTACGTTCACTGAACACCGATGACTTGAAGACCGAACGTAATGAAACCCGTCCAACAGTTCAGGTGCTAGCAAGACGTATGTATAAACTTACATACATACAAGTATACTGTACACCAAAGACCACTTGTTCGTGCTCAGGCGAGGTCAGAACGAGCAAATCAAAAGGCAATTCTCCAGCAAAAGAAGCTGCGAATAAGAGAAACTGAAAGGTACGTTACAGTTGTTCCTGTCCTTAAAAGACGTCTGGGGGGAGTGGAGACATAGCTCCATGAATACTTAACCGCGTCACTGGATGGAGATTTGGGGTCTGCTTCACGCCCTTGCTGCTTTATTCCCTGGATAATAGTTGCCGGTACATTTGGGTATGGGGTTGAGCTGTCTCTTACGGGAACACAACAGTCGCTAGTCACTACACTGACTGAGCTATCCCGGCTCATAAATGAGCAATTTGAAGAAAACAATAGGTTTGAAAAATACGCCTTTATGTTCTTTATTGGGGGCACGCTATACCATACCTGATTGAGGCACTATGCTATAAGCCGGAAGGTCGCGGGTTCGATTCGCAATGAGGTTATCGGATTTGCAACTGACCTAAACCTTCCAACCGTACTATGGCCCTGGGGTGGACTCAGTCTATAACAGAAATGAGTACCAGGAATATTCCTGGGTGTAAAGGACGGCCGGAGCGTAAGGCTGACAACCTCACCGCCATCTGTGAGCCGATTGTCTAGAAAATGTGAGAACCTCAACTTCTCACAATCCTATGGGCCTCCACGGCCTGCTACAGGGCTACAGCTTTGAGTTTTTATATTCTTTATTACATCGCTCTCCGAACTTTCTGACACGCCCTGCCCATTTTGTCCGAAATTGTTTTACTGACAGAAACGTAACACTTCGCTCTCATTATAAGTACCATGCTGGAATGCTGCAGTGTGCTCTTAAATTGGCCATGAATAACACCGACAAATACGAAAACTAATTAACTCCGTGGCTTGAGTCCGCAAGAGAACTATACCGACCGAGCGACCGCCGTTTGTCGGCGAAGTTAGTGCCGACTTTTTCGGATAGAGGGTGTCGCGTTGTCAGCGCAACGGATCCCCACGGCCGTTAATTTCGGTTTTCTAGACCGGAGCCACTACTTTTCTTTTCAAGTAGACCCTCAATTATCCTCACGAGGCTGGGTGGACCTCGTTCCAGACCGACTACTTCCCAGAAAATCTGGTAGCGCCGGGAACGGAACTCCGACCTCTGTATCTGTAGGCAGGAACTCTGACCACTAGACCACATAGGCGGTCTATGAAAACTAATTCCTCCTTTTTATTTTAAATATGTCTTAACAATCCTGACTGACAGAGAAGACGCTTTACTGCAATTACACTTTCAAAAGTGTACTTTATTCTCATCAACTCACCCTCAAATCACCCTTTCACCCCAAAGATAGGGAACCACTGCTCTAATGGCATACACTTTCATATATCTGTTCTAATATCCTGCAAGTAGGGAAAAGTAATCTTTATATTTGCAGTAGTAATCACCTCCAGCTAGCGCCGAGGTCAAGAAAATGTGGATCTACGTTATACATCCACCCCCCATTCGCCTTCATGGTGTAGTGCTTAATTAGTTGAACACAGGGCCAACTTTTTTTTCCCCTTGGCACTACAGCCCCAGTGGGCCTAGGCCTACCTCCATGAACTTCTCCATTCACTTCGGTTTTTCTAGATCTTAGACATACGGTAGGACTCCTTGGGCGGGTGATTAGTTCGTCGCAAGGCCTCTACATGTACACAAACACAGAAAAACGCACACAAACATCCATACCCTGAGTAGAATTCGAACCCACGATCCCGGCTTCCGAGCGAGCGAAGACAGTGCACGCCTTAGACCGGCCAGGGCCAACTTTACCTTCTGAATAATAATAATATACTCATGAGGATGATTTCTATGGGCTGTTATTGCGATTTCGAAGGAAACACGAAAAAGAAAAGCAACCTGCTTAGCTCAGGCGGAGGTTAAGCTTACAGGTGTTCTCTGGCGCGAGGCATACGGGTGGTAAGACGGGCGCGCACATATCTGCCTGCGTACCTCCTGCCGGCCTACGGCTCGTCTGTGGGAACGCGCAGTCCAGGCAAGTTCCCACGAAAGCCTTCTCTCCCCACAGCCTACCACAAGCACGGCACGGGGGCCCCCACAAGAGGAGAGACAGAAAAAGATGAGGAAGACGAAGACACCTGGTTGGGAGGGGAACGGGGGGGAGGACAGTTGATAGGAGGGTGTATAAGAATTAAGGCCCCCTTTTATGAAAAAAAAACGAGTGGTGGGAGGGGAGACGAGGAGAGGTATATGGCAAGTTCCTTTAGTGCAGGACTTGGGTAAAGAAAGTAGTGTCTGCCCCTTTCCGCCCTGTAGCAGTAGCACCGTGATGCTCTGAGGATAAGCAGTGAATGTTGTGGTCCGGTTAGAAGTTTGACGTGTCTTTTTCGCGTGCGTGTATAGAGACCAGTGATGTTGGCGCCACGCGGTATGGACGCGGCGAGTCATCACCACCACCACCTGCATTTGGAAGGACACGATTACCACGCACCACCTATTTCTCGCACTATTCAGTATAAGAAGGTAAAGAGATCCATTATATTGTCGTCATGGTGGAGGAACATTCTTGGAAAAAATGCTGTCAGTTGCTTAACTGGGTAAGAAAATTCCCTGTTTTTGTGGAACGGAAAGATTCATTAACGTGTTCTACATAAACGTGAGCCGCTGGACCATGTCATGAACTGCGCCGAGTTCTCAGTTTCTGTTTACTGACATGCCCCCATTGGGCTACGGACCCACTGGGCTGACAAGTCCAGTAACAAGCCGTCGATTCTGATGTTAGGCTTTGTTAATTCAAATTTAAGGTTAGGGTTTGGGTTACGTTTTTGAAAATTTCAATACTGCAAGGATGGGGGAATTAGTTCCCATAGCACCTCCTGCAAAAAAGAATTCGCCATCGATTTCAGCCCTATTCATCTAAAACGTTGTCTCCCAAGTTGTCTTTTTCCTTTCATATTTTAATTAATTCAAATTTGAGATTTGCTTTTGGGTTATGTTTTTTGAAAATGAACTTATAATATAGCGAGGGCTGGCAAACTTATTCCCTTAGTGTGTTCGGGGAGTAAAAACAGAATTTCACCTCCCATTTCAGTGTTTTATATCGAAGATTAGGTCTCCTAAGTGTGTTTCCCCTTTTGATATTTTTCTATCCAAATTCTCATTTCCCAGATGCGACTAATATGACGAGCCCACTTCGTTCTGCTACGTTTATTTGCCTAAAATATCTTTAAAAAATAAATGTTGGCTCTTCATTACATAATTTCCGCCATCCTTCTGTAACTCTTAGCTTACAACTGCACGACAGAAATTTATAGTTCTGCTGTCTGTAAATGCAGTAAGGAGCCTCTGGTTGTTATCAAGAATGTGGAATTCAGCTAGTACAAGATAGTAACTTGGTTTTATACACTTTAGTAACAGAATTCTACTATACGCACTACTGACAGCAACAGGATTCTACTAAACACTACTGACAACGTACTAATGACAGCAAGAGGATTCTGTAAACACTACTGACAGCAATAGGATTTTGTAAACACTGCTGACAGCAATGGGATTCTGTAAACACTACTGGCAGCAACAGGATTCTACTAAACACAGTACTGACAGCAGCAGAATCTATCAGTCTGTCGTACGTCAATGCCATTTCACCGATAAGTTATATTAACACTTCCACGTTGTTTCATTTAGGGGCGAACAGAATTATTTCGTTTGCATTTACACATTGACAACAAAAGGTGAGATACTGACATGTTTATATATATCGGAATATGACATCATATAGTCTGGTAGGAGGTTACCAACGTTTCGGAGGAACACAGAGCTTTGATCTTTGCTTGTTTCTTCCTGTTTATTTGCCTGACTAACTCCTGGAACCTGAAGAAGGAGGTATTAATTTCGCCCAAACGCCTATGAATTTGTACAATATTACAATGTGTCACATCCCAGAAACTAGTTATTTTCAGTTTCAGTTGGCCCCCCCCCCCGTGTTTTGTTGGCTATAAAGAAAACATTTCACGCGATATTTTGGAGAAAACAAGTATTTTCGATTTGAATTTTGTTGTGCTGGAAAGATACGAAGCAACAGCCTTCACTGTACATCCCAAGGCGAGCTGTAACATTAATAATTCCGAAATTTTGGTGGCTAAACATACAGACACGAAGCCTCCGAAATGTTTACGTTCTGTGAAGTTGATGCAGACAAAGAACACAATCACCATTAAATACAAAATTTGTACCGAGCAGACACTGTCGGTGTTTTTAACGACATATATCGGCCATAGCAACGACACGTGTTCAGCATATTGCCTTTGGAGATTTAATTTATTCTGAAAATCAGTTAGCGAACCAACTTATTGCGTTAAGTACAGTCAACTTTCCTGTTAATTAAACTTTACCCTTGACACAGGCTGAAGTTGCCATCACAAAATCTTTTTTTTTTAATTCGCTTAGTGGGGGGTGGAGTCCAACTGGGTCCACTCGGCACGGCGTCCACTGATTGGCCTATTGTAGCCTGCCCCGGTTGATTATGATAATGGAGAATTTGGTGGAATGAAGATTGACAGGGGAAACCGAAGTACTCGGAGAAAACTCGCCCCAGCGCCACTTTGTCCACCACAAATCCCACTTGACCAGACCCGGGATCGAACCCGGGCCGCCGCGGTGGGAAGCCAGCGACTAACCGCTTGAGATATGGCGCGGCACAAATTTGAAATATGTATTGCCAATTAAAAACACATGTTTTAGACGTTTGAGAGTAAGAGGTAACAACATGAATACGGCCCTGAACCAACCAAAACCTAATCTTTGACAAGCTAGAAACTGGATATCTCGTTTAACAATGTTATTTATTGTCTTGAGCTTTGAACATGTTTATTATTTTGCAGTGAAGTGAAAAATTACTGTTATTTGTGGAATTTCACAGTAGGCATAAATATATTTTCATGTGGCGTTTCAAAAAATACAAATTGCCAGTTACAATGGGAGTATGAAAGTAAGCGTAATAATTTACGTTCAAAGATACGTGTAAAGACCTAAGAGATGTATTGTCTATCTTGACAATGTTAGACAAGTTCTAGGTGATAAGGAATGGGCGTACTGAGGTATATGTGTCTTCTGTTGTCCTCATGAACGATATGTCACTATCAGCTGTCACGACAAAAATAAGTTCGTCTTCTTCCGTCGTTAAACAGCAAGTCCCTACATAACCCATTAATTCTGTAACGTTGGATTGGAAAATTGTGCCTCGAATTAATAACTAAGATCACGGAGTTGATACCTCGAGAAGCCCCAAATTCTGCAGATACTCAAGAACTCAGCAATTTTTGGAACCCGAAGGTTCTTTACCATGTTCACAGGAGCCCTCCACTGTTCCCCATCCTGAGCAAGATCGATCCAGTCCATACCACCCCACCTTCTGTAAGATCCATTTTAATATTACCCACTTCCCTGCGAGTTAATATGGTAATGAGTTTCCAGATTCTTTAAAAGGCGGGAAATTCCTTGACTTCATGAGTTCTGCAGTAGGGCCAATTTTCGTGGCAACTCAGAATATCTGCATGAAATTAACATAACGAACCAAACAAAATTCCTAAAAATTGTCAAGAAAGTTACACTGCCTCTGTGGTCTAGTGGTCAGAGTTTCTGGCTACAGATCCAGAGGTCCCGAGTTCGATTCCCGGCACTACCAGATCCTCTGAGAAGTAGTTGGTCTGGAACGGGATCCACTCAGCCTCGTGAGAATAACTGAGGAGCTATTTCAAGGAAATAGCGGCTCCGGTCTAGAAAACCGAAATTAACAGCCGTGAGGATCCGTTGCGCTGATCACGCAACACCCTCTATCCGCCAAAGTTGACACTAACTTAGCCGACAGGCTGCGGTCTCTCGGTCGGTATAGTTCGCTTGCTGGCTACAGGCCACGGAGTTTATTTTGTTTGTTAAGAAAGTTATATGTAGGCCTGTTACATTTATTTCCTAATAAATAAACCGAAATACTGTCTGATAAGGTTTGAAAGCCGTCATCAGAACGGGAAAAAACTCAAGACTGGCAGACATTCCAAAATTACAGCCGTTTTTAGCCTACTTTCCTAATGCACACTAATTTCTCTCCTCACTGTCTGTGTGTGTGTGTGTGTATATATATATCCTCCTCCATCAGGTTTAGAATGCTGGAACCAATTTTATGAAACTTGGCAACTGAGCCCGTCTCAGCAGTGCACTCCATAAATCCCTCTATCAGCCTGTGTGCGTCTATGTGAATCTCACCTTTCGGTGCTAGGCAACGGCTCTATAAACACGTTCCCTCGGCAACGAATACACGCAACATAAAGAATTGTATGCGTCTCTTTCAATGAGGGCCGTGTCGTATCAAAGGAAAGTAGGCGATTAGTTCTTCCCAGAACTTATTTTTTTTATGAAACACAGACGTAATGTAGCAGTGTTCAACGTGATGATATGTTTCGCCAAGTAGTGACATCTTCAGTTGATATGGACAGTTCAGGTTTGTTAACACATCGCTTTGCCACTCCCTCAATTCTGCTTTATATACCTGTCTTGGGGGGCACGCGGTAGCGTAGTTGGTTGAGGCATTATGCTACAAGCCAGACGGTCGCGGGTTCAAGTCCCGATGGGGTCGTTTGATTTTTTTTTCAATTGACCTAATCCTTCCAGCCGCACTATGGCCCTAGTGTCGAATCAGCCTCTAACAGAAATGAATACCAGGAATCTTCCTGGGGGGTAAAGGCCGGCCGGAGCGTAAGGCTGACAACCTCGCCGTCATCTCTAAGCCGATAGTCTAGAAAATGAGAGCCTCCACGGCCTGTTACAGGGATAGCTTTACCTTTACCAGGATATCGGGACTTCCCGATTACGGGAGAGGAGAGGTTTCACTACTCAGCGACTTCCGTTTCCCTCGAACAGAACCACACTCTCGTATCATTCGCTCAGAGTACTCTTCTCAGTTGATTTACCGTCGCCCAATAATCTACTGCAGTGGCCAAAGCTTGAAGACACATCCCTCATAAACTGTGCGAAATCACTGGATGGACGATCATAGTTTGAAGCTCTGTGGAGACCAGCGATTTTCTTTTGATCGGCTTGTCAGTACGTAGTCAAGGCCTCGTTTTCAGTCGTTAAGTTTCTGGGAACAAAACTGTGGGGTCGTAAATCTGACTCCTCACTTCCATCTAGAGCCGAGTCTGGAAGTGTGTACAGCTCTGCCCTCCTTTACACAGTACATAACGGTGCTTAGACACAGTGGATCTTAAAGGAACTTGGTTTGTGACGTCTCTCAAAACTGTTCCAGGTGACGAAGCCGCTACTTGAGAGGAAGAGGCGAGCGCGAATAAACAGGTGCCTCGACGAGCTGAAGGACCTGATGGTTGGCGCCTTGGAGGTAGGCACCCCAAATTACGTACGTTTTACTTTAGGCTTACGGATAGTCAACGCGTGGATTTTAACTAAGGTGAGTCCCAAACCTAGGTGACCCAGCTCTTTGACGGGACCTGGAGGGAGGCTTTTCCCGGCAAGAGTCGATACATTAGCGGGTGCAATTGGATGGAACTTACGAGCGAAGGCGATGGCTTGACCATGAGTAATGCTGTCATAACGGAGACTTTTGTGCCCACGCTGTTCCTTGACACAGGTCTATTCACAGAAAGCTGTTTCTTACAGCGAAAAAGAATGATTTAAGGAATGTTAAGTATACAACCGCCTCTGTGGTCTAGTGGTCAGAGTTCCTGGCTACAGATCCAGAGATCCGGGTTCGATTCCCGGGTGGGTCTAGAACGGGGTCCACTCAGCCTCGTGAGGATAACTGAGGAGCTATTTCAAGGAAATAGCGGCTCCGGTCTAGAAAACCGAAATTAACGGCGACACCCTCTATCCGCCAAAGTTGGCACCAACTTCGCCGACAAGCGGCCGTCCCTCGGTCGGTATAGTTCGCTTGCGAATTAAAACCACTCAGTTAGGTATACAACGGAATAACGCGTGTTTCATGTCGAGACATTTCTTATAAAGAAGTCCCACGAACCGTGTATACGTAATACGGCGATATTCAAAGGCACCAAGACCCTCAACAGATTGTTTAACGGGTTGCAAGAAGCGGATCGCGTTTGTGATGATAAACGATGCATGCTCGCACAGAACACCGACTTGATGGCATTCGAGCGAGACTTGAAAATGGGCCCAAGAAAATCGCCACGTCGAGTAGGACAGTAATGTGTTGGCATATCAAGAAGTTCCATTTGAAGAGGTCTGAAAGCTCTTTAGGTTTCACCCTTACACTGGTCCGTAAGTTGATTCTCTGCAGATACATTTGCGCGCGTAAACTGTTGTCGTTGGATGCTACGGAACTGTTGATCTGTCACGTATTTTCATGAGCCACGTAGCAAAATGATTCTGTGAGTGCTTAGAATACCCATCACTGGGACAGTGGAAATCCCCACAAAATATATGAAGCCCCACTTCATGGCCAAAATGGGGGCTTATATATTTTTAAGACACTGAACTCGGAACGTTACGTGAACTGTTTTGGAACCAGGCACTGAAGAGGGGAAGCTAAATGCGTGTTTCCAGCAGGAAGACGCAGAAGTCCTCAAGTAACAACGTTGTATGGGAGGCCGAGGAAACGCCAAAGAAACTGGCAACTGGAGTGGAACCGGAACTTCCAAGAAACGTCGCCGATTGTGGGTGTAAGCATGTAGCTGGTTTCCAGATTAGCAGGCGGACACTGAGGGAACTTATGTTTGATTAGCTGCTCACAGCATCTCAGGTGGGTGTGTGCGTCCAACTTAATACGGAATAGGATTTCTTAATTTCGTGCGCTTCTCTTCTACAGAGGCAGATAGTGCAACTGATCCTGTCATGATATGGCGGTGGTTGAGACCGCGTAATAAGAGAGGACAGGGTAAATAAAACATTTGGCGCGCCCGTTCTTCCGTGACATTGTAAACTCAAGTGCTTATATTGTTTCGAAAGAACTTGACCAGGAACCAGACGCCTTCATCTCATGAGAAATTCGTTCTCAGGCCAAATCTATTTTGTTGCGCCTTGGCATTTGTCATATATATACAAGGCTCCTCAGTTAAGTGCACAAAAGCAAAATTAGAATCTTCTTCAAATTTTCGCGCCATCTGAAGAAACAAATAAATAAAAGAAGCGCATTAAAACAGCTTGAAACTGGAAAACTACACTGCAACGCAACTGTGAGAAGATCTGCGTACTCACTTGATTTGGAGTTGACTTTCTTAGTCTTCTACGAGTTCCGTTGCAGTCGCGTTGCTGTTTTCACAGAGTGTGCTGCTCAGTTCGATTCAACGTGTTCAACTCAGNGTTGTTTTGGGGGGGGATGGGGAATTGTGGTTGCCAGTTTCCTTGGCGTGCTCTCGCCGAGAGTGTAATTTTTGGTGAATGGAAAGTTAGCCAGGGGCTGTAGCCGCCTCGTTCACCAGATTTGAGTGTGGGGAAACTTGGCTGAAAATGTGTACAGTGATAATCCGCGTGCTCCAGAAGCCCTACAGAATGATAATACACGATATTATAAGTGAGTTGCAGCGTGCGTCGCGGTGCCAGATGCGTTCCGATGCGGGCAGACGCCGCTTTCAGCTGTTTCTTTATAAAGACATTAATCGGCGCGGGCGTCCGAAGTTCCGTATATTGTTCCCCGGCTAATGGATCGGCTCTGGCCGGGAAAAGTCGTGCTGCAAGACCCGTTAAGTGCATATCACGTATATTTGAACGTCACTGTATTATTAAAATGTAATTTGTGTGCTTAAACAGTTAATTTTGTGTCTCTTATTTTTTTGTAGGAGAAAATAATTTGGGCTTCTTTTTCCGGACACTACCAATGAACTCCATCTGTCAGCCTCGTTTCAGATACAAACACCAATATCACTACACAATAATGGTCGATTTTCTTGAAATTTGGTACGAATTTCATGACACTGTTACTTTGCTGTTAACAGAACCACAGCCATTGTGGTGCTAACACTAGTGGCACCGATGTGGTGTCGAGTCTTGTATAGGAACAGAGCATAGCTCGTTTAAATTTTATTAAAATAGTCCCTTGTGGAACATAGGCCATAAAAACTTGGTGGCTGAGTGAACTGCTTTATTCCAGGACGATGATTCACATATTCTTGAAACATGATTTTAAAAACTGTGTCATTCTGAGCCAGTACTCTACTGTCACATAATAATCCTTTAAATAAATTACAGCTACCTCTCCGGTTTACATTTACTGGAAATCTGTCATCATTGACGGCGTTACAAATACAGTAGAACTTGGTTATAACGTCATCAAAGGGACATAAAAATAGTGTCGTTATAAACGAATGTCGTTGTAACCGAAATGGGCACTTCCACAGTAGCCTTATGTTAGTCACGTAAAAATCTACCAAAAACCGAGCTAAAATGTTGCATTTTTTAGTGAAATACATAGTTAAGTACAGACTAACGTAACATTAACGTGGAATTACCCAATTGTGTAATATCAAAGACATATTACAGCGCTTTTCACTGACAATACACACCGCACTAATACTGTATATTAAAGGTAGGCCCACTCACCAAATTACAGTAGATTACATCAATTGTTGTGCCTTACTGTACCTAGATACGAGTACAGTAATCAGTTATCTTCATCTGTTTCCTGTTACTTGCCCAATACACACTTTCTAAATTACGTTCAATGTCCATATCAGAGAAATTCAGGAATGAAAATGACGTTACATACGAGGTTGATGCATTTGTGCATGTCGTACTAAGCAAGGTATAAAAACAGTTGCTTTATGAGGAATTAGTTAGTACCATTGAATATTTGACGCAATAGACAAGGTGTCGCAGAAACCGATGTTGCTATAACCAAGTTTTACTGTATATCAAAATCTTCAGCTGACGCACTAACAGCCCCCCCCAAACACGCAGACTAAATCACGGTTTTCTCTACGCTTCACACTAATCACTGAACACATGCGAGCAATCCTTTATATACTTTAAATTCCCTGTTAAATATCTAGTGTTAATAATAGGCCTATATAAAGGGCTACTTTTTGAAGCGCACTGATTAATACAAGGGGGTTCTTACCTTTGTTGAGCGGTGCACTACCGGTTGCGAGGCGCATACTAATTTTGCCGATGAATCAATATGTCTCTTGGCCGATAACGTTCAGAATGAAGTACTTAAAAATTCAGAGATCACAGAGACGCTGTAAATGCAGTCCTTCTCAATTGTGGACCGATATCACCTTCGAGAACAGATTGTAGAAACCAACGGCAAAAATGAACTCTGCTAGCTGCATCGCGCGGCTGTAAGGCGTGAGTGTATTGCTGTTGTTTTACACGGTCTAAGCTTCAGCAATTGTGTTGCCCTTCTTGCACTAGACTTTCACACTCGAGTTTCTTGAGCTACAAGTTTCAGTGATTTTCTAGGTGTATGTTCAAGCTTGGCTCCTATGTCATCTCACTTATTCTCAATAAGCTCTTAGTGCATGTGTTTCAGTTTCTTGAGTATCAGGAGTCCTACTGATCTAAGTTTATTCACCTAATTGTGAGTTGTTTGTCTGCTGGCAGCTTTTTTCATCACGAAGTTTACGTAGAAATAATCGCCGACACATTCCAGCAGATCCATATTTCACGTGTCATACACGCTGCTCTAAACTATACCCCAACATGACGGAACACACTGCTCACAAATTGTGACTGAGAACAAACGGCTAATGGAGGTGGATAAGTGCCGCCCACTGCTAACAAATCAGAAATGAATTCCCACGCATGAACCGTAATGCTCGCTGTGAAACATAATGCCGTCAAGCGGTCCACAAATTTAATAACTTCCCATAATTCCAAAGATTATCAACCATCAGACAAAATTCGTATGCGCCTCGCAGCAGGCGGTTCACCGGTCAACAAACGTAAGAACCTCCCTGTATACGTATATGTCTGTTTTAACATTCAAAACTTCAAAAAAATCAGACAGAGTAAATAAGTAAAAACAACATTCACAGCTCTGGGAGGATCCATATTTCACGCCTATCCTGACATCGGTTGGCAGAAAAACATGTTGTATATGCACAATATTTCGTTCTTGGCAGGTTTTTACTATATAAGGTGCCATAATTCAAGGCAGACTGAATCAAAGATGCACGGTTCGAATTAGGAATGCCATATTGCTGTCTAAAACATCCTTTGGAGTTTGTCATACCTTGAGTAGGCAACCTTGCGGAAATGAAGTCCCTGTGTATTCAGCTGTACCTCGGCGATTGTTGTTCCCATCAATTATCGAAAATTGAGTTCTATAACGCCCAGAATTATTGGATTTTTGGACATTTTCCATCGTCCGGTATTCTAGAAACTAAAGAACACAGCGTTTGGAAAACCGGATCTGTTTATATCCTCAGGTAATGGGGGGAGACAAGGCCGCGCCATAGCTCAAACGGTTAGCCGCTGACTTCCCACCGCGGCGGCCCGGGTTCGATCCCGGGTCTGGTCATTTGGGATTTGTGGTGGACAAATTGGCGCTGGGCGGGTTTTCTCTGAGCACTTCGGTTTCCCCTGCCAATTTTCAATCCACCAAATTCTCAACCATAATCACCCGGGGCAGGCTACAATAGGCCAATCGGAAGCCTCCGTGCCGAGTGGACCCAGTTGGACTCCACCCCCACTAAGCGAATTAAAAAATTTGGGGGAGACACGCACGATGACGTAACGAGACACGATACTTTCTGATGGTGATGCAGCCTAAGACGCTATACACACTTTACAACTATAGGCATTATGATAATCGGCATAGACTGGAGGATAGCATCAAAGTGGATGCTAGAGAAACAATGAACTGGCTCTGTAAATCCAGCATCATGTCTCTGGGAATACGATAATGAACTTTCAGCGTCATAACAGCGGGATGAGTACCAGAGAAGGCACTTGACAATACAAACACCTTTACATCAGTGCTGTGGGAAGAAGGAAGGAAATTTGTTTCGCCACTGTTCGATTTGTGATGGTGCTGTTTGACTTACGTGTTTGTTTTGTCCAGGACCGTCCCTAGTTTGATTGAAAAGAGCTCACTGAAGCAGAACACTGTCACGGCGCGCCAAAATAAATCTGCAAACAAGAAAACAAAAGTACATAGCATCACTTTCCTTCACACGTCACAAAACAAAGACCAAAACTAGTTGTAACAGTGGCGTAATAAATGCAATTTCAGTGTCTGTACCAGCTAAGTACTTGTTGACCTGGCCACAGTTAACAGTTTTACCATTATTTGGCCGCTAGGAGTGGTACCCGGCTACTAGTTAAATTCACGATTTCAGAAATCTGGGCATTACAAACTCCGTGACCTGTAGTCCGCAAGCGAACTATACGGACCGAGCGACCACCGCTTGTCGGCGAAGCTAGTGCCAACTTTAGCGGATAGAGCGTGTTGCGTGGTCAGCGCAACGAAACCTCACGGCCGTTAATTTCGGTTTTATAGACCGGAGCCCCTAATTTTCCATTCAAGTAGCTCCTCAGTTATCCTCACGAGGCTGAGTGGACCCCGTTCCAGACCCACTGACTACTAGACCACAGAGGCGTTCGATCTAGGGACTGCATTATTTGAAATGTTGTGTTAGCACACTACCATCATTTGTGAGACTTGGTCACTTTCAGAGAGATTGCCAGTCGATTATCTGAAGCTTCTGGTTGCTGTTTGTGAGGTCCGGGCACCACTCAGCTGGTAATAATTTGAGAAGTATTGTTGGGGCCATTCTCCATTTTTACGTCTTGCGACGCTTGTTAGATATTGGACTTCGCTAAGCAACCACAAGCTGTCGAGTTTCCTGTTTCAGTTGCTAAGGCCTCTTAATGTGTTAACGAAAATTTTATAGGGCACTACTAAAACCGGTTCTATTTCGTCGTGAGTGAGTGTTAAAAATGAGGTGACTTTATTAGACACGTAATTTCCTCGGACGTGCCATGATTATAAATGTACATATATTAATGAGAAAATAACACTTTCAGGAGAGATAACTGCTTCTGTTCAAGGAATAGACTGTTCAACTGCCCCGTTACGGATCTCGAGTTCATCGTCGACATCACAAAAGCCATAGCAGATTGCAGTTAAAATTTGATATGTATTTCTTGTGTATGCCTGCTATGTTCTCCGCAAATATTGTGACGTATTTGGGGGTGTGCGTAACTTATAGACGGATTTTGGATTTTTGACCGGAGATAATGCAAACTTATACGAGCTACAACTACACAAACCACTGTATGACACGATGTCTTCTCCATCATCTTCGACTGCCGCCCCAAGGTACTCCAAGTCCAAGTCACATTGCGACTGACGGTCCGTCAGTCTGTCTGTCTTGGTGTCGAGCCCCGACTGGGGCTCATGACAGATTCTTTTCTTCTTTTTTCTTATATGAAAGTTACTGTCCTGTTCATTTGGGGCGTCCTCTCTGACGAGAGGTCGGGTCTGTCATTTATCAGTCATAGTCTGTGTTAGTAATTGTCACAGTTGTCCTCGTTATATAGCCTCGGGGCGGCCCTAACAGAAGACACCGTTTCCTAACAATCCCTATATTGTTACAGAGGTGTGTTAACAACTTTGTTGCATAGAAACGGTAGTTCTGTTGTTGCGTGCGTGTTAATTTCCTCCGTTATCTGTTTACCGAGTCTGTGCCTAGTAATGAACATTACCTCTGGCTCCGTTATCCCGGATTTCAGGTGTCATGTCACTGTATCATTAAGAGGCGGGCCAAGGAAGTAAACCGACTGGTTAGGGGCTTGGATGGGCAGGCTTCGATTCATGACAGATGTAGTACACTCCATTTCTAGTACTGTGAGCATCGGGTATTATTTCTCAAGTGGTAAACCGGCCGCAGCGCGAATCTAACTACAAGGTGGATAATATGACTGTTCAACAGCTCGGAATAATCCAGTTCGTGGTTTTACTACGTCCCTCCCGGTAAATGCCGGGATAATATTTCGATTAGGACTCGCTTCCTTCCAAATCTTTTCCAATTCATCGCTATATATTACTTGCCATTTGGCCCTGTGTGGTCTAACTATTGACAGTGTCTGGCCGATCAGAGGGGCCGCGCAGTCTAAGACATGAACATTCTTCGCCCGCTCGAACACTGGGGTCTTGGGTTCGAATCCTACTCGAGGCATGGATGTCTGCGTCCGTTTATTCCATGTTTATGCTGTCCTGCGTGTAGGTAGCAGCCTTACGACAAGCTGATCCCCCATCCAAGGAGCCCTGCCGACTGTGGAAACTGAAAAATCGGCCTGGGCCCCAACAAAGAGCTCTAGAGCAACTGATGAATGCTTAACTAATTAAGGCACAACGCCATGAAGACGTGGGGAGTGGATATGTACAGACGAATGTGAATAAACGCTTCTTAGAGAATCATTTAGGCTGTGCCATAGCTCAAGCGGTTAGTCGCCGGCTTTCCACCGCGGCGGCCCAGGTTCGGTCCCGGGTCTGGTCAAGTGGGATTTGTGGTGGACGAAGTGGCGCTGGGGCGGGGTTTCTCTGAGTACTTCGGTTTCCCTTGCCAATCTTCATTCCACCAATTGCTCCACAATCACCCTCATCTATCATCTGGGGCTGGTACAAGGCACTTTGTCCCACTCCACTGGCAATAGCAATAATAGAGAATCACTCACACTTGTCAGACACGTGGGGACGAAAGTGAGACTCAGGAGAAGAGCAAATAGAACCACGATTCCTCGGCAATCCAACACCGTTCCCCGCCGCTATATCGACTGAGCCATCGAGCTGTCACGATGACCTTTAATTAATAGTACTAATGCTCTTTGATCCGTGGTCATTTGTCCACAAGCGAATTATGCCGACCGAGCGACCGCCGCTCGTTTTCGAAGTTAGTGCCAACTTTAGCGAATAGAGGGTGTCGCGTGGTCAGCGCAACGAATTCCCACAGCCGTTAATCTCAGTTTTCTAGACCGGAATAGTGCTAATGCGTTAATCATAAATATGTGCATATTATTTGAACATTTAACGGCGGCTGTTGTTGTTATCGACTTACTAGCAGACGTTTCGGGCACAGTCTCCGAAACGTTGATTGCTCCATATTGACACAACTCATCTCCCGAGAAAACTTCATTGCGTAACATTGTATCATGACGCCGTGGCGTACGCGTTCACTCCCGACTGGTTCCAGTGTTACACAGGTGGTGTGTGTTCCAGGCGGAGGGTGAGAATGTAAGCAAACTGGAGAAGGCCGACATCCTGGAACTCACAGTCCGGCACTTGCAGCGCCTGCGACGGCCCCGCGACGCCGCGGAGGATGCCCATCGCTTCCAGGTAAGATGTTCCGCCTGCAGGGTTTGTAGCTCTACATACAACGGATTTCACTGCGCGTCATGTGAAAGACTCCGGTTCAAAGATCGAGAGGCAAAGATAAGTGGTCCTACTGTTATCATTGGTGATTTTCAGCTACACGGATCAGGGGTTCAAGTTATGACACCGGGACCCGTTAAAATAATAATATTACAAATGTAAAGCTATCCCTGTAACAGGCCGTGGAAGCCCACAGACTTGAGAGGGGTTGAGGCTCCCACATTTTCTAGACAATCGTCTCACAGATGGTTGTGAGGTTCTCAGCCTTAGGCGCAGGCCTCCCTTTACCCCCCCAGGAATATTCTTTTACTCATTTCTGTTAGATGCTGAGCCGACCCCAGGGCTATAGCGCGGCTGGAAGGATTACCTGTGACATCGTGAATGAAACCCGCGAACTTGAGGCTTGTAGCGTAATGCCTCAATCCACTACGCTACCGCGTGCCTCCAAAATAATTTTGTACATAAATTTACGGGACACAGCGAGTTCTTTCCCGGTAAGGGAAGAGTAGTTCTGCACATTGTTGAAGGTGTCTAACCAGGCTGTACGGTTATAGGAGGATCTTAAATANCAAAACCTAAGTGATTTTAGTCCTCAAGCGAACTATACCGACCGAGCGACCGCCGCTTGTCGGCGAAGTTTAGTGCCAACAGAAACTTTAATTGACGCTACTAAGGAGTTTGGTTTAGAAATAAACACAGAGAAAACTCAGTATATGTTACTGTCTCGTCACCAGAATGCAAGGCAAAATCATGACATNATACCGACCGAGCGACCGCCGCTTGTCGGCGAAGTTTAGTGACAACAGAAACTTTAAATGACGCTAGTAAGGAGTTTGGTTTAGAAATAAACACAGAGAAAACTTAGTATATGTTGCTGCCTCGTCACCAGAATGCAAGGCAAAATCATGACATTTTTTTTCTCTCTCTGTGGCGCTACAGCCCCAATTTCGGCCTAGGCCCTACCTCCATGAAACTCTCCACTTCGGTTTACTAGATCTCACACATGCGGTAGGACTCCTTGGGCGAGTGATCAGCTCGTCGCAAGGCCTCTACCTGTAGACAAACACAGAGAAACGCACACAAACATCCATGCCCTGAGTGAGATTCGAACCCACGATCCCGGCTAATATCATGACATAAAGATAAGTAACATATTTTGAAAATGTGGCGTAGTTCACATATTTGGTAACGACAATTACAAATCAAAACCTGGTTCACGATGGACTTAAAAGGAGATTGAATTCGGGTAATGCTTGCAACCATTCAGTCCAGCGGGGAGAACATTCCTCACAGATTGCTGCTGTAACTCCCGATAGCAGAACGAGCCATTAGCGCTGATAAACGTGCGCCGTCGGGTGGCGTGATCATGTCACTGCAGTNGGCTAATATCATGACATAAAGATAAGTAACATATTTTGAAAATGTGGCGTAGTTCACATATTTGGTAACGACAATTACAAATCAAAACCTGGTTCACGATGGACNAATGCCTTCAATGATCGAGGAAATTTGGCAACAGGGTTGAGCGGACAAAACATTTCTCACAGATTGTTGCTGTAACTGCCAATAGCAGAATGAGCTATTAGCACTGATAAACGCGCGCCGTCAGATGGTCTGATCTTGTCACTGCATTAAGTTGCATAAATACAGTCAGTCTCTGTTAGAGGTGTCGATAGGTGGTCGACATTTATACTGAAATACTACTAAACAGCTTGTGTTCATTGTCGAAACTTTTGCAAGGAAAAACTTACAGAAAATGTATTCGTAAATCTCGTCGTAAATATCCAGACAATCCGTAGGTCGAGATTAAATACAGAGAGCTCACAAATATAAATGGGATTAATTAAAAGACGGGCCATTTCTTGATTAGCTGAGCGACCATCAGCTTCTCAAAAAAGAAAGAAAAGTACTGTGTGGAAGAATCTGTTGCAGAGAACGGAGGAAAAGGCTCGATAAACTGTAATTATTACAAAGAAATACGCAGCTAACCACTTGGGGGGGGGGGATTATTACCGTGAACCAATTTTACCCGCCCTTTCTACGCATGGGTCTGTGTAATTATAGAATAAACATATTTAATGAATGTCCTCACGCAGTTCACTCGGGTCCCAGTTACAAAAAAGGAACACTTGTTAACTGCATGTTCACTTACACCGCCCGCTTTTTAAAAAAGACCATTGTTATTAATATATTATTACGTATATAGGAATTTAATTAAAATTTAATTACTTAATAATCACCTGGATTGGTAAGCCATAGCTTTAATTACATGCAATACTGTTGAAATATTTGGTGCAGAAAGGGCACTGGTCCACTTACAGATTTGGAGGATACGTGTAGTACGTTTGATACGCAGTCGAGGACAACCAAGAAAGAGTGGTCCTCATCTACAGAGTTGTACGGGAACTAAAACCCGCGTCACCATAAAATATACTTACTTACTTACTCATGAAGCTGAGCCCTTCTGGAGGAGCCGCCAATTCTGCAGCTACTCAAGAATTTCCCAGCATTTTATGGAACCCGAAAGTTCATTACCGTGTTCACAAGAACCCTCCACTGGTTCCTATCCCGAGCCAGATCAATCCAATCAATAGCATCCCATCATATCTCTCTAAGATCCATTTTAATATTGTCCACCGACATACACCTTGGTCTTCCTAGTGGTCTCTCTCCTTCTGGCTTTCCCACCAATATCCTATACGCATTCCTCGTCTCCCCCATTCGTGCTACATGACCTGACCACCTCATTCTCCTTGACTTGATCATTTTAATTATATTTGGAGAAGAGTACAAGTTATGAAGCTCCTCATTATGCAGTTTTCTCCAACCTCCTGTCACTTTATCTCCCTTCTGTCCCAATATTCTCCTCAACACCCTGTTCTCAAACACCCTCAGTCTATGTTCCCTTAATGTCAGAGACCATAAAATATAGCGCGTTATAAATGCCAGAGTTTGATTTCTTTGGCACAATGTAAAACTTCCCACCACGGCAGTAAACCAGAGAAACAGGAACACAGAAAACAGTCGCCAGCGCACAGGCCAACTGAGAAAGAACAGGTAAAAGAAACAGTAACGTTAAGCAGAAGGTTAAAAACAAGGAAAGTAAATATAAACATAAAAGAAAAACAATGCTTGTATCTTTCCGGTTTGTTATGAAGTGGTAGACTACCGTTAATGTCCTTCTGTAGCCCTTAATGCTAAAATAAGTCCTGACGTGGCCCAGCGTGCCACCTCTCCGCATTCCCCTGCATAGATGCCCACGCTGCTCTCTCCCCTAGGTTTATAGTGGCAACCCCATTATTTTCTGTGCTCCCGGAAGCCTCTGTAGTTTCATCCTTTTGAAGTCTTTTGTGCCGATCTTCATTCTCTACGTCTTTTATGGTCAAGAATGACCATGCTGTCATGTTATTATATTTCCTAACTCTCCTACGTTCGTTAGACGATTGCGTACATAGTGTGTGCTGCTGTATAGTCACTCGTGGAGCTGAGCCCTTCTTGAGGAGCCACCAATTCTGCAGCTACTCAAGCAGTTCCCTACATTTTATGGAGCCCGAAGGTTCATTACCGTGTTCACGACAGCCCTCCACTGGTCCCTATCCTGAGTCAGATCGACCCAATCCATATCATCCCATCCTATCTCTCTAAGATCCATTTTAATATTGTCCACCCACCTACATCTTGGTCTATCAACGTTTTTGTTAATAAAAATGCTACATTAGTAAAGCAGATGCTATAAAACTAGTTTACATCGGTTATATAAACGTTTGATTGTGTGTCCAATTATTATTAAGTGGATGACAAACAGATTTGTATGATTTACTTTTATGTCTCTGTTTGAAGTTTTAGTAGGTCTGCCTTGTATGATAATTCTGATACGCAGGCGCGTCCAGTCGAAATCAGTCTGTCAGAATACGAAGGAGAGTCAGTGAATAGGTCACAAATGGATATAAAACGTAAAACATGTGATATTCGAAGGCAGAAAAAAATGTTTACTTCTCGACATATGCTCCACCAACACCTGTCCCATGCTTTACCAGTGCGTCGAAACCCTCAGCATAGAAGTCGCGTGACTGATGTTTCAGCCACTTCCGCACCTCCGTTTCAACTTCTTCGTCATAAGCGAAACGTTTGGCAACAAGGTGACAATTTCTCTACCCATTTATGAACAGCTTTACACGACAAACACTTCCCACAGTAAATGGTAACATTCCTATATGAATATCCTTTGCAATGAATCAATTTGTCTACAAAAAACGCATTACAGAACGCTGCTCTTCGGTAGTAGTCACATCAAGCACGGTCGCCATTTTGACTACCGAAACCAGCCTCTGAACACTCACATGCGTGTCTGCTACCTAGTGATACAATATAACCGATTACTCCTTTTTAATAATATACTTCGCCAAATTTATGTATGCATTTATTTGTTGTGACTACTGTATTTTAACAAGATTTAAATTATGAATTGTGGAATTGCGTTAAATCATTACGCACTGTATTACGCTATGGGCTATACATTAAGTGGGGATGACTCAATGTCCCATGACTTCTTACGAAGCTTATAGTTCAGGAGTTCCCCTCTTATTCCAGTGAGGCAATGATGCAAGCTTCGTAAGCAGTTAGTGCGGTACTTAACAGGGTATAGCCTATTGCAGGAACGCTAGTTACCAAATGACATTATCTAACAGCGGCGTGATGCACCTTTTCCTTTGTTCAGAACAGACAAAGCGTAATTCTCAACTTGTCAAGATGCGTGTGTCTCTCCTCAAAAGAACAAAGCACTAAACACAGTCGTAGTCATGTGTTTCAAATGGTGTAAATTCAAAATATCAAATAAAGTGTAAGTGTTTCTGAGTTTGACGCTGGTTTTTGTTGACTGCCTTGCTGTAACCAAGGCCCACTTAACGACCATGTGAAAGTCTCATGTTCCCCATTGGGTGGCGCCCAAGACATACTACAGAACA